AACTTTCCCACTTAGAAACTTTATTGAGGGAAGCCTTGCAACAACCTCTTGTGTTCTAAGCTTGTCGATGAGAGGAATACTAGCATGTCCAAAGCGACTATGCCATAAAAGTGAGTCATCTTCAATTCAATGACACTGAGGTAAGTTAGGTTGTTCCTAGGATTGTGTTGAGATCCATAATGTATGAGTTCCCTTTACGAATTCCTTCGAAGATAACCTCCTCATTGTCATAGTTAAGAATTCTACGGGAGTTAGTAGTGAAACTTACAAGAGTTGCCTTTATCACAAATTGTGAAATGCTTAACAAGTTATGTTTAAGACCCTCGACTAAAAATACATTGTCAATTGCATGGGAACTTGACTTTCCTACTTTTCTAATTATGATTATTTCGCCTTTCTTGTTGTTACCAAAGGTTTTCAGTGAGAGAAATTTATATTTGTCTCCTGTCATGTAGTTGGAACATCCACTGTCGAGGTACCAAGTGTTGTTCCCCCTCACTGCGACCTGAAAGAAAACTAATTGTTAGTTTCAGGAACTTGGGTTTCCTCGAGTCCCTTTTCATCACCACTAGTTTTCTTAACCCACGTCATTCTAACAGTATTTTCACTAGGTTAGGTTCCGTGCAATAATGCACGATTGTTAAAGTTCTAATATATGTCATATTATTATAAAATAAACTCTTGCTATATTGATTTAGTACAATTAAGGCAATTTAGGTTTTAGCCAATCTATAAATACCTTATTAAAAATTTACATTAAATAAATTTTAACAAAAAAAAATAAAAAATCAAAACTAAAAAGACACACCAGGAGATGACATGTGTCATTGCTGGTGTCTTTTAGTATATAATTATTGATTTTTGAGCATTTTCTTACTCCTTCTGGAACAAGCTTCTTTCAAATGACCTGTATTACCACAAAAGGAGCACAACTTGCTACTCGGTAAATCTACATATTTATTCTTCTTAGGGCTCTGCTTATTATCGGAAAAACCTAATCTTTCTCTTTTTCTAACTTGAGCATCAAGGATATAGTTAGGAGTAACTTTAGGAACTTCCTTCCTACTGGCATTAAGAAGTTCCTTTTCAAGTTTTTCCTTTTGTTCCTTAACAGTAACAAGGTCATTATTCAGTTTCTCAAAATCAGCATTGAAAATACGCATATGTGTCTCAATAGAACTAAAAGAATCTAGACTAGCATTAAATAATTTATATTGAGCAAGTTCTACCTTAAGAGTAATATTCTCATGCTTGGTACGTTCAAAAGAATCTTTTAGCAAAGTGTTCTAATCCAAAAGATCAAAGAACCTACTTTGAAGGTCTTATCTAGTACTGTTCAAATAAATGATGTGGTCCTTACTAATTTTGAGAGCTTTATCACTTTGTTCCTTTACTATACTAAGCTTTTTAAAATCATCCAATGTTTGTAACGGCAATTCAATTAACTTTTCCTTACATAAGACACAAAGGGTTTTGGAACATACCACATTTGATGGAACATCTTTCTTTTCTTTAATTTTAGCCATTAGACATAGATTGGCCATCTCTTCATTTTGTGGCTCCTCATCATCTTCTAATTGAGTCACTACCCGAAGCTGCAATCATTGTCTTGCGATAGACGGATTTTCCAAAGGTTCGTTTGTCGTATCTTTCTTTTGTCGCTCCTTTGCTTTGGCTTCACCTTGATTAGTTTCCCACAGAGAACACTCACGAATAAGGTGTTCCAAACTTCCACACTTCAAGCATCCGAGATCAAGTTAAGAATTGGATATTCCATTGCTCTGATTTTTACCCTTTTGGTTTCCAATTTTAAACTTTTTATAGAATCTCCTAAACTTATTAACCGTCATGGCAACTCCTTCATCAGGTATCTTCTTGTTCCTCAAGAGCGCAAGTCCATGGTTTTTGGAACTCTCTGTGTTACTAGCTCCAAGGTGCAGCTCATGAGTCATGAGAGATCCGTCAGTTGCTCAATATTGATTTTTGTGAAATCCTTTGTTTCTTGCAACGCAGTAACCTTGACTCTCCATCTCTCATCTTATGGAAGGCTTCTAAGGATCTATCGTACCTGTTCATCAATTGATATAGTTCTTCCAAGAGAGACTAACTCATTAGTTATGTTAGTAAAACAAGTAATATTTCTTGAATGGATTCTTTTGGATTCATTTCAAATCGTTCATATTTAGACATCAAAAGGTCTATTTTGGAACGCTTAACTTCGTTTGTTCCTTCGTGAGTGAATTGTAACAAATCCAAATCTGCTTTGCATTCTTGCACCCCATGACTCTCTTATGTTCATAAGGTCCAAGACCACAATGAAGCAATTTTACAGCTCTAGCATTAACCTCCATTTTATCAAAATCATCTTTATCATACTCGGAGATTGGTTTAGGGATTACCTCGTTCTCGGCATTGTTAGTTGTTACCTCAAAGTCGCTCACTTCAATAACTCGCCACACTATAGTTTTCTGCTTTAATGAAGATTTCCATGCGGTTCTTCCAATAGGAAAAGAATTTGTCATTGAACATCATAGGCCTCTAAGTAGAGTAACCTTCTTCAAGTTTCTCGTGTGTGTTCATTTTGTTTGGATCACACAACTCAACATACCCGTTATGATACCACTTGTTAACTTAGATAGAACACACAAGAGGGGGTGAATTGTGTAGGAACTAGACTAGTGTTCCCAAATTTTGCGGAAATTAAAAACGTAGAACGAAATAAAGAGATGCAAAGAGATTTTACGTGGAAACTCCTTGTGCCCAACAAGGAGAAAAACCCCAACCACTTAGGATTTTCGAACAAGACTTCACTAAATAGGGCAACTACTCCGTTGAAACCTATAAGAAACTCGACAAAATTTAAGTTCCAATAAGAACCTAAGCCGACCCCAAATGCTCACTCTAGCTTCTACTCCGAAGCCTACACTCAAGACTTAGCACTAAGTCTTTACAAAGATCACTCAACCCTTTCCCAAATTACAACTCAGTAATTTAAACTCTACGTGTTTAGATGATCTTACAATAGCTGGAATAAAGAAATACTCTCACTTACACAAAATATATTTTTCACTCAAATATTGTACGATTGTCAGGATGTCGCAATTCCCTTTTTATACTGTTTCATCAACCCAACCACCTTCTCCACATTCTCCACTACTTGAGGTGGTGTTCCTAAACTTTAGAAACTAACTCAAGCAATGTAGAGAAGTCAAGAAGGTTGTTCAATATAGAACGTGGGAAGAGGTTTGAATAAATCTTTTCCTTGGAGAGTAATTTAAGGAATCAGTTAAAATCTTTTTACAAAAGATATTTATTTTGTTAAAAAGAAAATATCAAAGAAATATCTTTTTATAATTTTAAACAAAACCGAAAATAAGATAAAATCCAATTTTATAAAACTGATCGTTTCAATTTTAATTCCAATTAACTCTTATATTCCTTATGTTCCAACCAATCATAAAATATCAAACACATTTTTTTTTAACAACAGAAATATCAAACACTTACATAAGGCTTAAAAATGATAACTCATACTTTTTAGTCTTCATGTAATACTTGATGCTTTTTATGATATTCCAATTGGACCTTTGATAACTCTATCTTGCCAAATGGAACATCCAAGCATAAAACCTTCTTTGCTTCCTTCACTTCAAATTGCTGTGTATGCCATATGTAGATTAAGGACTTCTCTTTGTTCTAACCCCGGAACTTTGTTCTTAATAAGAACTTGCCTAAATAACCTGCACACTTAATACACCTTGATCAAATTGAGTTTGCTTGTCATCACCAAAACTAATCGAGGTCAACAAAGCATAACCTTTGAACTAAAATGTTACTGCTACTTGTTACCAACCTGCTCAGCTAAACGATGGGAACCTATAGCCATGGTAACAGATAAAACTGTTGGCATAGCAATAGGAATTCCACCAATGAGAAGCACCAATAAGTTATCAATTCCAACACAATATTGAAAGTGTAGAATTGGGTACATAACTATGATCTCCACCAGCATTCCCACAGCAATAGAACAAATACGACTAAGATACCCATCCTATTATGGTATCTGGGTGGCTTCAACCCTCAATTGATAGAAAGGCATACAAAAAATCATCAAAAAAAAAAATGTTAAACACAATGTATAACATGTACAGTCTAATCAAGCATAAGAAAGAAACTTTAAACTCAAGAATCTAATGCACAAGACAGAAACTGACCAATAAACCATAACCTGATATCAGAACTGGTACCCATACTTGTAGCCTTGTAGGACCTGAGCAACTGATATCCTTAATGAAACTCCAACTAAGTTCTTCAATCTAGCCTCTTATCTCAACAAACTTATGAGAGTTGCCACATAGAAAGGGCATAACTGAATTCGATTGTAATAAAACTTTACCAACTAGATTATCAATACTTCTAAGACCTTGAATCTCAATAATACAAGCCAGCTCTTGAGAAATTTTTGTGTTACTCTGGCCCTTATACGTATTATAAAATGATTGTCATGGTTTAAGATATTTGAAGCATGCATCATGTGCAGTCCTAGTACATTAAAATCTGGGAGTAAAGTAAAAGGCATGTAAACATCTAAAACTGCATTAAAGTTATTCGCTTATTCACACTTTTGAAACTCTCATATCTCCGCCAACAAAATACAGGTTTGAAGAACATATGTGGAATTGTGGAGACATAAAACCAAGTAAATAACGGATAAAAACACTGACCAAAAATATGCAATAATTACTATGAGTAATTTTATCAACATTCAACAATAAAGCTTATGATATCTCCTTCTTTAAGCAGAAATCATTTTACCAAATATATATCTAAATTAAGTGAATAATACAAGATATGGGTATAAAAACAAAAATATCCCATCAATTAAAGATGATTTCAGCTAGTTAAAGAAATCTTTGTCCTATACCCTACTGTAGATTAAGTTTTTCTACGTATTACTTTACACGTCAATCATGTAAAAGCAATGGATCTCCAGAACTGTCCTATTTACCATCAGGAACCTCCTGCATAAACATCTCAGACATAGACCTCAATACATGTTCAGATAAGAAAGAAGGCAGGAAAAAGAAAAAAAAAAAAAAAAAAAAAAAAAAAAAAAGAGGAAAGAGAAGAAGACATAAAGAAAGGAAATACATATAGGCAGAGAACAATGGTTACCTGGTATGCCACAGCAAGAGACCTTAACCCTCGTTCTGCATACTTATCCATCACTGCATGAACTCTGATCTATCTCCGATTTATTATAAGCAGTTTTAAGATCTACCAATAAGCCAAATTATGAACATAAACATGTCAGACTTGTCAAAAATTGAGAAAACGGGTAAAATTAAAAAATACCTGTTCTGGTGCACCTTTGCTAACACTATGCATTTTCCCATCACTGTCAATGTACATCAGAGCTGTATGCTTATCAGTTGGATTAAAAGGAAGGAAGTGAACTTCTTGAATGCCTAGGCGAGCCTTTTCATTGAGGAAAGAGTATAATGAGAGCAGGACAAAATAAGGTGAAAAACCATGTTTCCTAATATTACGTAGATAATTAGATTACCTCCTTTGGATCAGCTAATGTCCCAACTATAGCAGCATCAATTGCATCTTGGTTTTCCATTCGAGAGGCTCGAGCAGCCATCAATACCATTGTATCTGCATCAATTCCCTTGACGAAAACCTGCAGGAATATTCATTTTGTGCTTAATGAAGGGAAAAAACTAAATAAAGCAATTAAAAAGCAAACCAAACCTCAACAAGGTTCTTGTCAACAGACAACTTATTTAATGTCAGAGTTCCTGTTTTGTCACTGCAAAGTACATCCATGCCTGCCATTTCCTTTATAGCTGTCATTCTCTTCGTTATTGTACCCTAACGGGTACAGATATATAGCTCAGAGTCTAGAATCTATTTATAAAAAAAAAAAATTGAAAAAAAAAAAAACAACCATAACCTTTTAACTAAAATGTTACTGCTACTTGTTACCAACCTGCTCAGCTAAACGATGGGAACCTGTAGCCATGGTAACAGATAAAACTGTTGGCATAGCAATAGGAATTGCACCACTGAGAAGTGACAATATTTAAACAATCAAGTACCAAGAATAACAGCAAAATAAGATCCTGAATTCAATTTCCAAGTTTCAATAACTGTCTACAAGAACAACAAAACTGATAAGTATAAAATACACAACCGGTCTCCTCCAGTATTATTTCACCCTGATAATGAAGAGGGAGATCAAAAACCAGCTTTAATTCTACCAACCGGAAAAAAAGAAAGTTTAAAATAAATTAGGAATATTAAGATGCTACTAACTTTTGCTTCTTTCCTTTCTTAGTACTATCACCTATTTCACCATTCAGCATTCTTGATAAAACATCAGCTTGCTTCGAGTTTCCCTCCTCATTCAGGGTTTTGATTAAACTCTCGTAGCTGCTCTTATCAGTCACGCCGCCCTTTAGTGATATTTTGCACAATATTGAGTATGCGTTTAGAGTCTTACCAGCACCTATAAGGGCATCCAGCACCTTGTCATAGCTCGAAAAGTCCAATGTAAAATCTCTCTCCAAAGCAAAATCTAAAAGTTTCAGAGCAGCTATTGTCTTTCCCTTATCACTCATAACTGATAAAAGATTATCGATATCTGGTGCACAACCACTGTGCATCAATAGCTCAATTCTTCCAAGAGCTTCCTCAACATGACCTCTCATGAACAGAGCCTCTAAAATCTTTGCAGATAAGTCCATGTTATCCGTCAACCCCTTCTCCAACATCATCTTCATGACACGGCTAGCTGTTTGCACCCTTTCATCATTGAAAAGACCCTCCATGACTGCTCTGAACACAGCTGAGTCAGGCAAGTGGTCATTCTCAATCATACTATCAAGAACGGTTTTGGCATCAGCTGGTTCCCCTTTCTCCAAGAAACTATGGATAAGTAACTTGTAGGCATCTGCTTTTGATGAGACCCCTCTCCTGATCATGATGTTCAGCAATTCAAATGCAGCTTCAGGATTCTTCTCTTTAGAATGCCCACGGATCAAATTATTGAAAGCTTTAGGATCCTGGACACCCTTTTTCATCAGCTGCCTGAAAAGGGTTTCTGCTCTTTTAGTGTCACCATTGTTGCATAGATATTCAATAATTGCATTATAAGAAGTTGGCTCCATATCCAAGGTACTCTGTGGCCTCAGTACTATATCTTTCTCAATAAGCTTGTCTAGTAAATTCACTGCCTGATCATAGGCCTTAGCCTTACATGAGTTTTCAATCAAGATCCCATAATGTCCAGCCTCAGTCGGAATGCTCAATCTAATCATTGCTTTAAGCACATCCACAGCAGCATTCAAGTTACCTGACTCGCACTGGCAGTTCAACAACTTTACAAAGATCGAATTATCCTTGGGAGCAGCATGTCTCTCTACCATTTCCCTCAAGACTATCTGAGCTTCAGATGGTTTCTTAGCATCACAAAGCCCAGGCAACAGCGTCGAATATGTAACTGAATTTGGCCTGATACCAAAATCCTTCATCTCCTGAAACATTCTAAGTGCATCATCTACCTTTCCCATGGCAACATAACCTTTAATCATAGTAGTATAGCTTATAACAGTAGGGGCTATATTCTTTCCCTTCATCTCCACGAAAAACTTCTCCGCTTCTTCTATATTCTTCAACCGATAAAACCCATTAATCATTGTATTATACGTAACCACATCAGGCATAATCCCTCGGTTCCTCATATCCTCGTAAAACCTATTGGCAGTCTCAGCCTTTTGACACAGAAAGAATCCCCACAACAAGATATTGAACGTATGCTTAGTAGGTGCAATCCCCTCCTCCAACATCTTATTATAGTACCGTTTCGCCATCATATACCTCCCTTGCCGCAATATCACTTTAAACAAAGCATCATATGATTTCCCTGTCCTCTCCACACCCAACTCCTTCATCTGCTGAAATATCTTCACAGACTCCTGAACAATCTCATTCTTACCATAACTCTCAATCAACACAACAAACATATCTTCATCAAAATGAACACCCTTTTTCGGCATATCCATTAGGATTTCCCGGGCATGATTGAGCTTCAATGATCGGCCTAATCTCTCAATAATTTTCATATGGGTCTCTCTATCATGTTTAAATAAACCCGACCGTTCGATCCACCGGAAGAACTGGAGCGCGTGCTCCGTCTTCCGGGAACTATCCAACACATTCAATACAAGAGATTGATCAAATTGAGGCACTAAATTACGAATTGAATTCTGTAAACGAGTTGTCCAAGCTCTATTAGCCATCATTCTAGCAATAATATCCTCAGTTTTTTCTGGGTTTCGATTCTTACCTCTTGGAGTCCTCTGTTTCTGCTCTGTTCCACCTTCAACCAAAGTACCACCTTCATATTTTTCACTTTCATTGCTTGTTTCTTGGATTGGATCAATGGAGGGAAAAGATTCAGGTAATGGGTCATCAACAGAAGTGGTAGAACAAAATTGTTTGATGAGATTTAAAGGGGATTTACCCGAGATCCCATAAAACCCAGGATAAACCCTAGGTGGTCGTAAATGTTGCAATTTTGAGCAAGAAAGTTTCGCCATTTTCAGAATAACTTAGAGAAATCAATGGAAATGAGGTTATTCGAGTGAGAAACTTTGGAAGTGTTGAAGAAATCACAGTGATTCAGCCATTTTCAGGCGTATGAGTGGTTTAGGGTTTATTTGCAGCGCTTTAGGCAGAGGTCAAATGTTTGGTTTTAGTTTGGGCTTTCTCTTACTAGCCCGCTTTAGACATGGCAATCCTATCCCAACCCGAATGACTTGACCAGTAACCCAAAATCATTGACTCGAAAATGACCTGAATCTGAATTAATTCGACCTGATCCGACTCGAATACAACCCGAAATGAAGTTGAATCGAATGTGACCCGATGCTCGAAATGATATGACCCAAATGACCTGACTCGAAAGTGACTTAAAACCCGAAATTGACCTGACTCGATGTGACCTAATTGACTCAAACCGACACGACCCGAAATGACACGAATCAAAATGACCCGACCCAAAGTGACCCAATAGGTACTCAATTTTTTTTTTTTTTTTTTTAAGGAAATATACTTTAGTTTCTAATATTATTATATAAAAGTTATTCTTAGGCTTTGTTATTTAGAGCTGCTCTGTTATGCTATTCTGAAATTTGCTCTACTGTGCTTCAATATGCTCTTTTCTGCCCGGCTATGCTCTACTTAAAAATAATACTTAATATTGAATTATTATTAATAACTAATATTTAACAATAATAATAAATAATTAATCTTTAATAATAATAATAATAATAAATATTTAATATTTAATAATTATAATAATAATTAATATTGAATTATAATAATAATAATAAATAATTAATATTTAATAATAATAACAATAATAATAATAATGATAATAATAGTAATAATAATAATAATAATTTTTAATAATTATAATAATTGAATTTTTATAATAAAAATTAATATTTAAAGATGATAACTAATATTTAAAGATAAAAATAATTATTATTTTTTAATAATAATAAATAAATAATATTTAATAATTATTATTATTATTACTATAATTATAATATTTAATATTAATATTTAATAATAATAATAATAATAATAATAATAATAATAATAATAATAATAATAATCATCTAGTAGTAGTAGTAGGAGGAGGAGGAGGAAGAGTAGTAGTAGTAGTAGTAGTAGGAGGTGGAGGAGGAGTAGGAGTAGGAGGAGTAGGAGTAGTAGTAGAAGTAGGAGTAGGAGTAGTAGCAGCATGGGTAGGAGTAGTAGCAGCAGCAGTAGTAATTATAATAATGAAATATGCTCTACTCTTCTCTGTTGACTCCTACTCTACTAGAAGCTCAAAAGAACATGGACTTTCTTAAAAAAAAGTTATTCTTATTATTGAAATAAGAGGGAATTTTCCCACAAAATTGTTAAGTGGATTTATTTTTGGCGACTCGGCCCTAACTTGACCCGATCCGAAGTGGGCCCGAAAATAGTCTTGAAAATGACTTAACCAAACTTATCCAAACCCGAATTGACACAACTCGAACAGACTTGACCCGACCCAAACTCAAACTAAAGTATTGACCCGAAACCTAAACTAACCCGATTCGACTCGAACTCGACCCAAATATTAGTCGACTAGACCCGAACGACCTGTTTGACAGGTCTAGTCTGTTTAAGAGGAATCGATTTTAACGTTCCGTTATATAAAAATACGCCCTCTATTTTTTTTTTAACGAATGAAAAATTATAAAAGTAAAAGAGAACGAAATATGAATAGGGGGCCTTCGGTTTTAGAGATTTGAAACAACATGAATCTGAAACTACTAAACTAAAGCCACATCTATAGTGATTCCAACATTAAAAAAAGGAAAAATTGATTCTAATAATCCCACTTTTGATCGGTTCGCTATTAATAATCCCACCTTTTGATTATTATCTAATAATCCCACCTTTGAAGCACATTCTCTTCTAATGGACCTTTATGACTGGTGACCTATTCTTTGGGTAAATTTTTTTTTTTTTTTTAATTCCTTGGTTACGCTCCAGCCTCCTTTCCCTCATCACCAGGCAATCCCCCTACATTTCCGACCACCAGACACCACCACCAACAACAATAAAATACATTCAGCCCCCATACACCACGCAATGACGCAATCCCTTTGCCCTCAGTTGCTCAATCATCAGCAGTCACGACACCATCACGCACAACTCTTTTCCAGCCACCGTCACTCAACAATGCAGCAGCAACCAACAATCACCAGAATACAGCAACAACCACCTCATCACAGATATAGTGAATATACAAGTGGAGAGTTGTATGGAGCATATAATAATTGAATTTGAAGCCGCCATTAGCAATACAAAGTACACCAAGTTCTGTTTCAAATTGCAATTTAGGAAGAAAAAGAAACGTAAAACAACCTCTTTTGGGGTGCTTTGCAGTTTGCACCTCTATATTTAATTACCTTTTAATTTAATTTAATTAATTTTTTATAT